AAAACCCCCCCCCACCCCTCCCCCCCCCCAAATGCTATTCCTTGGGAATTCTCTGGAATTTATAAATAAATAGCTCTGGTCACCACACTTTTTATTCAGTACAAAGTTTAAAAATAAAATCTGTAAATGACAATAACCAGTGAGTCCAAAAGAGCTTAAGGATTTTAGTCTAATATTAGCCCAAATATTTTCTGAGTTGATCAGAGGAGTGACTTGCTGGATGCTAATCTAGATAAAATGAGAAATTGTCCACGTAAGCAATGCACAGTAAATTTATACTGGGGTGCGTGTAACAGGTTCTTTGAATTGGTTCCCATTTACAGAAGCAGTAACAAATGCTGATGGTTGTAAAATCGTATTGGCTATTAAGTAGGCGTCCCGTGTGTTTGCTGGTGCTGCCAAACCCTCTGTTCACTTGTAATCCTCAGCAGATTTGAAGTGCATATTCTGTATTGCTAGTGAGCATATGAGGAAGATGGCTCAGTTGTTGGTGCTAGTAGCTTTCTTGCTGTTATGTCTACACAGCTGTGATTCAAGCAGCTGTTTAGGGATGAGTTTCGCGAGCATGATAGCTGTAGTTACAAATTTAATTTTGAAAGTGATCCTAGCACAACTGCTAATGTCTTTAGACTTCTTGATTTATTAGAGGTTAACTCTGTCACTGCTAGCAAGCAGTAAGCACAGCTAAATACATTCAGGTAGGTAATGAAATGTGACAGTATACCGAAAGTCTTCACATTTGAAAAAAGATTCATATATGCCAGTGTTTAATCAGGGACAGATAGTTTCAGAGCCTTATTTTCACAAAATGTGTGATCTCATGAGTTGAAGTAGTCTCTTGTGCTGAAGGAACTATTTCTCAGTTATTTCAGAACATGTTTTAATTGAGTCTCATGAAACTTCCAATTTTTGAAGATCAGAATAACTTGAAGTACATCTAAGAATATGATGTATATCTTCAAGTGTCTTTTTGGAGTATCATGGTGAAAGCCCAACAATCCCCCACCTCCCAAGCTCCATTACTGTCACAAACATAAGTTTAAATGAATATAATTATCACTAATTACCCTTTTTCCCCCCCCCTCCAGGATAAAGTAGCCAATATTTGGTGCAGTCTAAGCGTCCTTATAAAGATAAAGAATATAGTATCACCTCAAACTCAACTAAAACTCAGGTAGGACATAACTGAAGTGCTTTAGGTAGTTTATTTGTATTATTTTTTGTAAAAAGAGTAATTTTTGTCAAAGAATTGTGAGAAGTGGTGTTTAAAATCTTGAAAACATGTTTTCTTTCCTGTACTGTCCTTCTCTCCCAAGTGATAAGGTTTTCTCCAAGTACTGTTAGGTATATTTATGACTGAAAAATTTTCTGCATGTTTATATAGTGATTTAAGCTACTTGGTTAAAATTTGCATGCTTTCCTCTTCAAAGAATTAACTCTTTTAGTGCTCTTAGAAGGCAGAGTTCACAGTTCTGTTTTTTGACTAAGTGAAAAATTCGAGTCTAGGTCTACAGAATCTGAAATATTAATGGAAATGCTTTATTCCTTTTTCAAAAACACTTATGTCAGTGAAGACCATTCAGTGCCCTGCTCTTGTGATTGAGTCTCCTTGAGTGATTTTTGTATGTCTGAAAATTACAATTGAATTCCTAACTTACATAGTTTTCAAAAGCGATTATATGATATCATGGATGTAGTTACTCATGTATTAAAACTGTTTTTCTTACAATATTCTTTAGTTTTGTTGTAACATTCCTGAGCCTGCTTCCTACTTGTATAAAACTAACTGTCCAGCCTTCTCTCCGAGGATTTAAATTTGCTTTGGTAAGTGTATGTTCTTAATTGCTCCTTGTTTTATATCCAGCACTGGTGTGTGACCAACAGTTCTACTCACAGTCGCTGCAATGTGCAGAAGTGAGTGTACCATTAAATGCTGTTCTGTTTCTGCCGAAGAGTTCGGTTAAAAAGTGTTTTGCTATCGCATGTCCAGGGGGCCTGACCTGTCTTTGAAATCTAGACTTTTTTCCTTAGCCTCAGTTTTCTGTATTTAATGCTGTATTTTTATTATCTTCCTCTGAAGAGTCTTCAGGAGATTCCGTACACATTAAAGCCTCAAATAGAGTTGGAATTTCTCCTCTTTTTCTTTACCTTCCAAAATGCTAGTTTTTCTTAATGCATTGACTGCAAAATTCAATAAAAAAGTCCCGAGATGGACATCATAAGCTCATTAGCAGTTTGAAAAGAAAATGATACTATTTTCCCAAATGTTTGCCTTTTCTTAGTCATATTATATCATTGAATTTAAGCACATTAACATGACTTACATGGAAAAGTCAGTTTTCCTTGAAATCAAAATTATATGGAGCTGGTACAAAGGTTTCAAGAGTTGGACGATAATTTCTGGTTTTAATTTTATGTGAGTACTGTTTGAGAGTATATTGCAACATTGCCTAAAACTAACTTTTATCCTTTCTAAGAATTGGTTTATATTTTACAGTGTGATTTTTTTTGTTGTTGTTGTTTGGTGGGGGAAAAAACCAGCAATTTGTTTACTTTGATGTACTGGCTGTTCATGATGATGAGCAAAATTTTATGTCAAAAAGTTGGGTAGTTCTCACCATGACTGAACTTTGCCAGTACTTATGCATGTGAATATTGTGTTTACTTGGTGGGGATACTCTTGTCAGTAAAGCTAAGCAAGAGTGAGGGCTCTTATATGAAGTATTTTCTGAATAATTCTGGGTAAACTTTCAAACAATGTATTTTTTTAGTATGCATAGGTGGTTACAGAAGCAGCTCTGTGTATTTGTAGATTGCACTGGAGTAAATGTAGCAGTTAATTAGAAAAATCAGATCATTTAGCTCACACATTCATGTAAAGTCTATGCCAGCAGAGAAACTAAAACAGTGTTGTGCATTGCAGTCACATATACTAATATATCTCTGCTTTCCTTTTCTAAGGTTAGTTGTGCATTGTCATTTTTCCTGTTCTCCTTTCAAGTACATGAAAAATCTATTCTTCTAGTGTCAGTGTAAGTAAATTATTTTTCTGTGGATATCTTTTGGTCTTCTTTTCCTCATCTTGTTATTGCATGCTCCTTTCTCACAAATATATCTGATTTTAAAAACTCTACACATTTGCTTTTCTGAGTAACTTGTAAATGAAAGTATATAAATGCAACCATGCTGGTGTCTCCTGCTTCACTCATGTCTCCGGGCCGGTGCTCTGACTGCATTTCCTGGAGTACGATGTGGCACAGAGCATAGCTGTTTGTCCAGGGGACAGACTGGCTGTGGGGCTGGTTAAGGCGATGCTGCCATGGACAGCAGTCTTGTACTTAGCTGCCCAGCAAGGCTGGAGCACGGTGGCCAGTTGAACTGGGCGATTGATCCCTCACTAACAGCATTGGTAAAGGGGCCTTCTCTCCCTGTGTCACTAAGGTGTGTTTTTTCCCATCCCCTGCCCCAAAGGAGATGAGGGCAGCAGGGGCAGTCAGCAGCTTTGCTCTTCTGCATGGATGTCCTTCGTGTACCTGAAAGTAATGTTTGATAAAGGAAGATTTGGAGAGGCAGCCCTCTTAACGCTTCCCGTTCATGCCTGACAGAAAGGCTAAACTGGTGGTTGGAGAACTCCTGTTACCTCTGTAGGCAGTTGTCTAGAAGTGGCAGTACAGGTGCTCCTCAAAGCCCACAAGAAGCCTGGCTGCCGGTGCCTGCCAATGGTACGCGCTGTAAGCGTTCTGCCGAGCCACTCTCCTGCTGCAGACCCCCGTGCGGGGCAGAGCATTTGCATGTTGGGTTCAGGGTGCTGTAGGGGGAAGCAGGGTGCCCCAGCAGAGGATGCAGCGCTTTGGGCACTGCCTGTTCCCGGACTTTCTCAGCCTGCGCCAGTGGGGCAGAGGAGTGGGAGCGCAGCATCCATGTGAAAAGTTGAGAGGACGAAGTGATGTCACTTCAGTGTTTGCATATCTATTTTTCCTCTTTTCATTCTAGACCAGTCTGCTTACTCATAAATGAAATCCCTTTTATGGCTACGTGGTTTTTACTTGTATCAACTTTCAGGTGAGTTGGACACTATTTTAAAACCGTGTTCTTTGCCCATTCTAGTAAATAAATGTATTCTTTTTCCTCTTCTCTTTACATTCTTCATAAAGTGCTCAGAATGAGCACTCACTTCTGCGGGTAATTCTGTTTTAACAGCATGTTGCCTCTTCTACTGAAAGATGGGCTGCTGCTGGCCTACGCTGTGACAATGCTGGCATTAGCGTGGCTTCCTTTTCCATATTTGAGAAGACTTCAGCAGAGGACCTGCAGTTGAAACCATTCTCCCTTTCCCTGAAGGGATATGTTTCTTGGTTTAAGTCATTTCCCAAGATTGTCAGGAGTCTGGTAAGCAATTTTAATTCCTATAACTTACTTGCAGCTCTTCATGGTACTGAAGTACTTGCATAAACCAGTTTTATGTCCGTAACTGTGTATAAAGCCCCAAACAGGGAAAGCCGCACTGTCTCTGTGTAGAGGTGTACTATCATTTTTTTCTGCAATGTCATCTATGTATAGATTGAAGAATACAAAGCACCCAAGTAATGAAAGTAACAGCTTACTCGTTTGAGATGTTAAATCACCATTAGCTAATATATTACTCCTTATCTTACAGTTTCTTCTTTCCAACCTGATGGGCGCCCTGTCTCTAATGAGCGCTGCAGTGCATCCTCCACAGAGGTTACCGGATTTATTTCCTGTATCTGTGTCCATTATTTCTTGTTTACACTTCTTATTATTTTTGGTGTATTTTAATGTTGTTATACTCTGGGACTCAAAGAATAGTAGAAGTCAGAAGAAAATCAGTTAATCAACCCATGAAGATCAAGGACTAAACTGTGAAAGGACAGAGTATTTTCAGTGAACGGTGTCTGGCATTGCAGGTAAACCTGTTTGTGATGTAATACAAATCCTGTAACCTGATGAAAATCAGGAAACACATCAGGCATATTTAAACACAAAATCATTGCAGACTGTTTTAAAGGAGGAGTATTTTGAAGAACACTTGGAAATGTGATTTGGTGTGTTGTTTTCAGAAGTGTAATACTTTTGTTACCATTTGTAAACTTAAAATACCTAATAAAGGACCAAATTTTGCATTAATGCTAAAATACCCCGGCTGTATTAGCAAAACAGCAAACTGTTTTGTTAGCATTAAGTTTACACATTTCCCAGCATAAAAAGCGTAAGCAAGTGAAGTAGTGCAGGTTAAGTAGAAACTCTTGACTGGTAGCTCTTAAGTTGCCTTGCTGAATTGTTTTATGACTTAAACTGTCTTGTGCAGTGAGTCACTGTGCTCCATCGTTGTTTCATATAGCAAGCTGCAGTTCATCCTGGCTGTTGCTGTGTGTCAGTGCAAGGCACTCTCTGGGTGCTGTGATCTAAGCAGAGCACTTGGTTCCTCAGCTGATACTGTAGGGAAGAAAACTCAACCTGCCAGCAGTGTCACTGGCTGGAGAGCCATGGGCCCAGCCACAAGATGGACCCAAGTTCTGTAGCACACCTGCACAGCAATTCTGCAGCAGCTTCAGTTCCATCCACAGGCTTTTGGTTTTCTTGTATTATGTGTTATTTTCCACAGTACCGCTACTTTCAGAAGTTTTTGCTGAAGAATTGCATAAGCCACAGAGATGCACCAAAGTTAGTGCTGGGCACAGAAGTAGGGGCCGTGACATTTGGAAAGGGGAAGGTTCCTATGCATGCGGTGGGTTGGAATACACGTCTTCCTTTGCTGTAGATCAGCAGCTATGATTTGGTTTTGACACTAGTGTAGTCTTATGACTCTCAACAACTGTTTCTAACAGAACTGAAAAGCCAAAAAATCTTGGTTCTACTGAAATAACAGCTGAGGTACTGCAGTGCAGTTTGAAAGCAGGTACTAGGCTCTTCAAAAAAAGAAAAAAAAAAAAAAGCAGAAAACCACCCCTTATTGCATAGTAATTTGCAGATGTAAACTGAAGTAAACTCTGCAGTTTCTCCCTCTGCACAGCACAGCCTCCAATGCCAATAGTTCAGAGAATACAAATTGATTGAATAATTATGTACATAACAAAGCATGTAGTAAGAAAATAAATCATAAAGCAGTTCATGGTAGTATAGTTTAATTAGGAGTCAGTCTATCCTTTTTCTTAATTCTGCTCTGACACTATATATGTGTGTGTGTGTGTGTATATATATATATATGTATCTATATAAAAAAAGCAAACCCGTCCTTGTTGAAAGGCTTCTCCCCTGACCTCACTGCGCTCTGTCACATACCAAACTGTCATTGACATTAGCACATTCTGGGGCTGTCTCTGCAGCATCGGTTGTGAGTGTGTGAATCAGCTGTTCTGGGAACTTCCAACTGTGTCAGTTATGAATACTGTAAATGCAGTGTCTACAAGCTGAGTGTATTTATTCAGTTTTTCCAGCTTTATTTGTTGTGGAAAAAGTAACCACAGCCAACATTATACCCATGGCAGCTGAGACAAAATAAAGAAGGTGCTCTTGAGTAGTAATTGTGATGTTATCAGTGGTGAGTACAGTTTAGCAGTTTACCTCACTGTAAGGGTTCACTATAAAGGAACAAAACTTAAATATTTTCACAAGTATTTAGAATTTTTCTGAGGGTGTGTGGGCAAGAGCTCTGCCCACAGCATGGCCTTTCTTTTTAGGAGCGTAGGCAGAGTGGCATTGATGTGTATTGAGGACACATAAATAGGAATCTTTGTCTCCAGAGGCTGCGAAAGCTAAAAACCACAGTGTTCCCTCCAAGCATGGCTGGGTGAAAGACTGCCAAACGCTCAGGAAGCTTGAAGAACGTCTACTTCCAAAGAAATAATGTGAGAAACAGCAAATTAAGAAGGAAGGAAGCAGGATGGTTTCAGGTTTTAATTAGCCCGTTCCCTTGCATTCATCGCGAGATCATGGTGCAATCCTTCCCACCCATATAAAAACATTAGTTTTGAGTGGATCTCTTTTCTTTGTCCTTGAGATGGCCTCCAGGGGTGATAAAGTGAGAGTCATACGATCCACCTTGTGTGGAACTGGAAATGGTTCTTAACAGACCCAGCTGTTTCTGAAAGGCAAAAGCCTAGTACGGCAGGAGGTCAAAGAAACAGTAACTGCTTAAATAGCTAAGGCATGTATGAGGAGTATTTGCAGCAGAATCTTAGTATAAACTTCATATTTCCCTGAAAAATAATTAAATACCAAATTTCATGATATTTAATAACTGCCGTGGTGTAAGTTACTGCTGTAAGTCACTGTTGTCCATCATCACCTTTACTGTTATTTTCTGTAAGTTTTATTTTGTTCTTCTAAGACTACACAGAACAGCTTGATTTAGACTGATATACAGTTCATTTACAGACTCTTTTCAGATCAATAATTATTTAATTTCCAGCTACAGCGGTTACAGTCAGGTTAGATAAACTATTGCGGGTTGGGGCTAA